GACGAACCCAAGGTGACCGCCCCGAGGAGGAGGGCCACCTGGGGAGGGAAAGGAAGCAGCCCAGGGCAGAGCTCGTTCGAGCTTGCGGGCTGACAAGTTGCGCCAGGAGCCCTGTCAGCCGGACCGGTACTCGCTAGTTCCGTGTCCTTAGGGCCCTGGGCTGGGGCCCGTGAGTGAGGGTGGGCCCGGGCCCCCCTTTCCCTCTCCTTCAGTAGCAGAGGGAGTGCTTGGTCAGAAGACCAGCGGCCTTGCGACCAAGTGTGTAACCTACCACTAGGACCCCCACTCCCGCCGTGAAAGCGGGAAGACTGGTTACTGTGGGGCTCGAGCCCGCGTGGGACGAGGGCCCGAGGGCTCGAATACCCGACGGGCACGGACCCCCTAGTACATCCACTCACAGAAGTTTAGGGGTGCCCAGAGCATGGGATTGGGAGAAACCCTGCAATAGGCAGAGATGAGATAATCTGACCCTATGAAGATCTCATTTGAATCCTAATACTGTAGATTGGTTTAAACCCTCAAGCACGTAGTTTTATCTCCATTCCAATACAGGCATGGGAGAGGGAGAAACCCTGCAATAGGCAGAGATGAGATAATCTGACCCTATGAAGATCTCATTTGAATCCTAATACTGTAGATTGGTTTAAACCCTCAAGCACGTAGTTTTATCTCCATTCCAATACAGGCTGAACCTCTTAACTGGGACTCTCTGGTCCAGCAACGTCTCTGGTCTGGTAGGACCATGGATGTCCCAGGACCAGAGCCCCAGTGGAGTCCTACAGTGGGAACAGTGGCTTCCAGTAGTGGGGCTGCCCTGTGGCAACAAAACCAGGAGCCCACCAGTAGGGCTTCTGCCTGGTGCAGACACTGTAGGGTGGGGAGCATCAGGGCTGGCACCAATGGGACTCTCTGGTCCAGCAACGTCTCTGGTCTGGTAGGACCATGGATGTCCCAGGACCAGAGCCCCAGTGGAGTCCTACAGTGGGAACAGTGGCTTCCAGTAGTGGGGCTGCCCTGTGGCAACAAAACCAGGAGCCCACCAGTAGGGCTTCTGCCTGGTGCAGACACTGTAGGGTGGGGAGCATCAGGGCTGGCACCAAGCAGCAAAACAGCCCAGCAGCATAACCAGGAGTCTGGTAGCCTCACTGCTGCCCAGCAGCTC